CCCCATCCTGCAACTCTCTGGTGCTTTCCTGCTATCTCCACAGCTTGATATGCTGGACTCATTGCTTGGTGATGTTACTTTATCTAAAAAAAATCCCCAAGCTGTTTGTAGTGCAGGATTTAATTCTAAAATGTATATGGTTTGTTCTAGAGTTCCATGTGGAGTAGGCTTTCGATTTGTAATATTTTGTTGTCCACATTTAATTTTGGCAGTCATGAAAAAGTACTGAATGCTATAGTAAATGCTCATTTATCTTGAGCAGAGGTTTAGGACAACTTTTTTTTTTGTTTGTTTGTTTGTTTTTTCCCCTAAAATCTACTAAATAAAGCAGAATTTTAAAATTTATTAAGTCTCAATGTTGTCTGTAGACAGTCTTTATCACTTGCTGTATTTAAATATGCAAACAAGTAAAATGGAGGACTGGGCATGTAGGGGTTCAAACCATGCATAATTATAAATAAAACGATTGACTTTTAAATCTCAAATGCATCTGTTCCTCTAATGGTCAATTACATAATGGTTGTGTAAATCCTTCTTGTAAGATGATTATTGGTGACAGGTTAATGACTGATGGAATTTGAGGTATCCAGGTCTGTATTTAGCATCAGACATTTCTATCAGGAAACCCTGAAGAGGTGTCATTTGGTTTGGAAAAAAAAAAAAAAAAGCACACGTTTTGCTTTGCCTTTTGTCAAGGGATATTTAAAAGAGAAATAACCCCTGCTGGTGCGAAGATGCTTTATGGAGACTTAGAAGCAACAYACTTTTTCTCTAATGTTTTTAAGTGGGACGTGTGTCCTTGCCATGCTGAGCTGTACTGAGGAAGCAGGGCAGGCATAACCCCGAAAGAAACTCTAACAGAAAAAATCATCTCAGGATGAGATACGATTAAATGTCAGAAATCTCTAGCAYGGGCAGAGCATGTTCCTAGTTCAGGGCTCCCTGGATTTTGCAGTGTTCAGCTCTGCGGGAGTGGAGAAAAAAGTAAATGTGCCTTGCTGAAGCAGTGCTCAGGCAGTTTTGAACCTGTAACCGACCAGGCTTTGGGTTCTTCTCAGATTTTAGGTTCTTTGTAGGGGTTTTGATTTTAGAGAAAGAGAAATCCAAAAAACTCAATGTGGAAGCAATGGAAAATTAGTATTTCATTTTGCAAATAGCTTTTATGTGACAGAATACCTGTACTGAAACAAGATCAATTTTGCGATARAATTTCTGTGAAAATGCTACTGGGAAAAAAAAGACATTAAAAGCAGAGGGGGAAAGGTGAGTGCTATCAAATGTTACCAAAAGTCTTTGAGGATAGGCGTCTTGCAAATAAATGCATAAGTAATCTAACAAAAAAATTGTGCAGGCCAGTTCTTAAATCTAATTACAACATTTTATAAAATCACAGATGAAGTCAGTGCTTTTCCATACTGGGAAGCTTTGGAATTCATTGCCATTGTGAAGCAATGAGTGGACAGAGAAAGACCAGAAAAATTCACAGATGACGGGCACAGGAAGTGTGGCCCCTTCACATCACTTTATTGGCATTGCTCCTTTTGTGCCTTTGGACAAGTTRTTTCTCTTGGGGAATAAGTCCTGTGTGTAGCTTTTTGCAGCCAAGCAACTGGGTTAAGGCAAAAGATTTATTAGTATCTTGAAGGAACATTTGTTCTGATTTCCAGGATGGAAAGAGATGCAGCATTTGCACAGAAAAAAGCAGAGCGAGCCGTCCTGAGGGTTCACCTGAGAGAAAAGTACAGACTCCCCAAGGTAAGCTTGTAGCTCATGAGCTCATCTGGTCCAGAAGCCAGTTTTAAACCAATTTTAAGCTGTCCACTCCTTTTTCTTTAGTGATCCTGGCACTGTCAAACATTCCCAGGAAAACCAAAATATTGAAAGCAAAAGCTTCAAGTGACAGAGAAATCTGGAGGCTTCTTAAAACCAGGCAGTAGCTACCGTCGCTTCTGGATTGTGACAGGAAGCACAGTAAGACTGACAGCTTTTTCTTGACATAAAAACAAGGATAGCCCACTCAGGGGATTGCACTATCAACTCCAGCACAGAGAAAGTAACCTGGGCTTCTGTGCCTAGAAAAGTTGCTGTGTTGTTTTGTAAGCTTCTGCCACGGGCAGGAGAGAGGTAATACGGGACACAGCACTCTCTCCCAGGGTTTGGATCATGCATTTGCTCTGAACTCACTACTGGGAAAGATGTTGGTGTATTTTATTTATAGCCCTCAAGGAAATGTGCGGTGGTTCTCAGCAACTGGAGAATTTATTTATATTACTCCCCTGTCAGCTCTGAGTCGTTACCACATGTTTCCTGATCAGTACTTTCCAGTGCTTTTCAATTAATTAAAGTGGAGGAAGGTAAAGCATCCATCTGCTGTACATTTAACTGCTAAAAATTGCAATATTTAATCCAAGCAAGTCATTTAGGGACTCATCATCGACCGAAAGAGACCAGAACTTGGAGCCTCATCTAGCCAAGCTTTCAAATGAGCATTTAAGGGGGAGTTGGGTCACCTCCCAGTGGCTGTGCCTCTTGTAGAGGGAGGGCAGGTGACAGCTGAAGTCAGGTAAGATATATTCCACCCCTAAGATCCCGGTTCTCCTGGTGCTCTAGCTCTCCTGGAAAACATACCCTGAGGGTGAGTTTAATTACAGAAAGATTAATTATGCAAAAAAATTAAGTCCAAGATTTTAAGCGATTGATTGGATTGGAGGCCTAAGTCTCTAAACACCAGCATTTTAATTAGCAGCTGAGTAGTAAAATATCATTAGGCTTTGCTTTCCTTTTCGAAGCATATGCTGAGACAGCTCCTGAGCAGCATTTACCCAGCATCTTGGCCACAGCTTTCAGCTCCAAAAAGGGCTGGTTTGGAAAGCTCCAAGATGCTTCAGCACCCAGTTCCCAACTGAACATCAGTAGAGCTGGCTGTCTCTGTGTGATTTTGAAATTCTCCCATCTGAAGTGCTTTTCTAGTGCCCAGGTCTCCAGTCCCCTTTGGCTGACCACCTCCTAGACACACAAGTGTGCACTGATGATCTGACCCATCTCCAGCAGACCTTGGCTTTGACATGTAGTAAATGCTCTTTGGGGGCAGATTTCAGTAGTAACGGTACTTGCCTCCAAGCAGGAGTAGCCCTAAGCCAGCAAAGAATATTGCAGGATTAGCTTTTCTGCATTTGTTTCTCCCTATGTAGCATTTCTTGGTTCTATATGTCCCTGAAAAGAAATTCAGTGCTGTGGTACAACATTCTGGCAGCAAAATGCTCTGAGACTTGTAATGATGCATTAATTACTTCGAGAATTGAAAGTAATTTTGGGTAGGCTAGTGTGGGCTAGAAATGCTGAATATTACCAGTATCAAACACTAGCAAACACTGTAAATGAAAGCGTGAAATTCAGAACTAAGCAGAGCTCCTTTTGCAGTGTAAAATCTAAAGCTCCATCCTGTCTGGGCCAGATTTATAAGAGAAAGTAGACCCTTAATGAACCTAATCCTATTAACAGAGTTGTCAACTTAGGTTTGTCATCAGAAAGATGTTTTTAGCCATGAGACATTTTGATCTATGGACAACCTTTTCATCTTTGGAGTACTCAATGCATCATGTTCATACAAAAAAAAAAATTAAAATACTATATAAATACATACATTAATATTTTAATAATTATATTTTCTTTAAAAAACTCACCAAACTCTCTTATCCACTTGCTGCCTTTTTCCTGAACTGGGATTCAGTAATCGATGAATTTCTGCAAGGGCTGAACACAGGGGTGTGTGTTAATGGTAAGCTATGGAAAAACAGAGTCCCAGTGCAGATGTCAGAAGGGCCTGGTCCCCGCTCACTCTCTCTGTGCTCCAAGTTGTGATCTCTGGAACCTCTGAGGTGTTTCTGGGGAGGAAGCGGCTGGTTCCAACCTGTGGCTCCTCATAACTACTCGTGAGGTACCTGCAGCCCTCGGGTGGCATCAGGACAGTGGGGCTGCTGTGTTGCTAATCAAAAATCCCACCTGCAGGTCCAGGCAAGGTGAACTCTGATTTTGCATGTAACTGGTGCATTATAGGTGATGAATCACAGGATCAGGTCTGGAATCAGCTACATAAGGATCTCTGCACATCAGCATAGGTAAATGTTATGACAGGATAAGTTAGGCATAAGGAAAGCAGTACATCACACAGCGATGCTGGAAAATGGTTTGGTTCCCCTGAGGATTAGTCTGCAAGCTTTGATCTTTTTTGTTTACAAGCAGACTTCATATAAGCGATGTTGAATCAGCATTTGGTCTCCTTTCTTCCTTAATTTGGAGAGAGGACTTTAACATCATTGGTTAGAGATCCGAAAGTGCCRTTTAACAAGCAACACTAAACTTTGATTGTTCTCTCTGCAGCGGAACAAGCTGTCTCTCCCCGAGGGAGAAATTTCTCTTCCCATCAGGTGGGCACGGAGCTGTCTAATATTAAATCTTACCCTTTACTTGTGGGAGCTAGAGAAAGGATTTCCCCTGCGATATCAGATGGCAACGATCTCCTGCTTGCACAATCTCAATCCTTCTCGATCCCTCTCTAATTTTGTCTCATTTCTGTGTACACTTAATGTTGGTATTGTTGAACTAGCACCTTTGCACCTTAATTTGGGCAGAGGACTTTAACATCAAATCATAACAATGCAGATATTTAGACCGTTTTCTGCTCGGACCTACCCCTGTATCACGTATGTGTAAAGAACTGTGTTTCATATTGCACCTGTAGCAAAACAGATCTGAGACTGACTACATCGGATGCATAATCAGGGTCAAAAAATACTACCACGCACTAGGACACTATCACCTATGCTGTTGAATTGTCAGAATAATGTCTGACCCAGTTTTGGCCTGGGCATTCTCCCAAGCAGTTCCCAGGGCCAGTTTGGGAGTTAGGACAGGCATTCCCAGTCGGCAGTTAGATAGGACCACCCTGTTTGGGAGGGTGACAGAGTTCAATAGCATCTCAGTGGGTTTTTCCAGGCCAGCTGGCCTTGGGGCAAGAGACCAGTGCCAGGCGTGTTTAATTTAGAATAGATGTTGCTTCTGTGTTCACTTTTTCATTTCAAATCAAAGTAAACAAACATCAAATCTGTCAAATTTTAGAAGGATGAGAAGAGGCCATATATGTCTCATGTGCTTCTTTGCTTCTTGTTGAACAACCCCACCCTGTTGAAGCTCATTCTAGGTCTATTGAAGGACAAGCTAAATGACAAGTGGGTAGAGAGAAGTGGCTTGGGCAGAACTGTACTGCTTTAGACTATATCTGAATCTATTCTTCTCTGGTCAGGGAACACTTTGAATCCCCAGACTGTTGCACATCACATCTCAGACTTCAATAGGATAGTATGCTTTGGTGCAAGAACGGGCCAGACAATTGTTCACATTGCCAAAGAAGTGAATCATTACAGTAGCGTGCACTGATGATGCTTTAAATGAGAAATAGTTCTACAGAAAAGAACATGTGTGATTGTCTGATTAGGGGCATTTTTTCAGTAATTAACATGGTGTCTTTTTTATCATCTTCTGCTGACACTGGTGAGGATTTCCAAAGGGCTAACTCCTATGATAGCCATCAGTTGCTAAATAAAAGCTTAACACATTTTTTTTCTGCTACACAATCAATAAAGAATACTTCTTCTGATTAGGATATTATTTCTGGCTCCCACAGACCTGAGAGCAACAACCCTTACCCAAAAAGGAAATGTCCTCACCCATTTTATCCACATCATAGTAACAATCCTGATAGAGTTCTCCATAGTTTCATAGGCGATATAGGGGGAAGTCACAGTAAAGGGAAGTACAATTCTTGCAAACATAAAGCATGCAAATATGGAACAGTATATAGTGGTTATGCAGTTGACCACCCCCAGTCTGCCTGTCCTTGCTAAGGCCTGGAAAAACGCAGACATTGCTCATATATGTCCTTCCATTCATCTGTTCTTTCATTCATGCAAACCCCAGACCTCTCACCCTCAAAAACACCTCCTGCTGATAGCATTGCTGCTTATTCATATCAGGCCTTTGCTGCTGTCATGCTTCATTTTGGAGATGTAACGAGGCATTAATGGTTATCTTTGATGTGTGAACTGTGTCAAAATATCCTGTTCTTCTGAGCTCCGGATCCATCAGAATCTACCATAAAATGTGAACAAAATCACCATTGTTTGATAAATTGACATAGCCCCACTGATGGAGTGTTTCAGGAGGCAGGCAGGAAGCAAGTGTGTGCAATGCTTACTGCATCTCAGTCCTTTTAACTGCTTAGCCAGTTTCCTTCTCCTGTCTCCTTTGGCTTTCTCAGACTCACACCCGGCCTCCATTTTCTCTTTTGATGTCCACGTCCTTCTATTACCCCATTTACCAGCGCTGCAAGACTGCTCTGTTTATGTTCTAGGCAGCTCCTGCTCTTCATCACACCTCAAGAGAGGCCAACCAAAGACCTAGACAGATTTCAAATATGGGGGACTCTTTTGCCAGTAATTCATTCCAAAGTTTAATGTATCTTTCCTGCAGAAGATCTCAGTTTAGTGCTGATCCCTAAAAATATCCCCAACAATTGAATGGGGAAATGGTGGCCGCACAACTTTTCTAGAGCTGTTGCTTCATTGACCAGCAGCTGACAGGCACAGCACAGCAGCTGACAGGCTCGGCAGTGTCCTGCAGCATGGTTTGGGGGGGATACAAATACCTTGAATGGAATTCCTCCACTATCTGCATATCAAAGATTTCTAAAACGGTGAGTGACACTGCGGGCTTCAGTTCTGACAGTGCTGAAGCCATTCAATGAAATATAATTGACGTTGCCTGGAAAATCTTAGAACTTGCATGGAGGCTGATCGAGCCCCTGAATTCACAAGTTGCACCCAAAAGTTTTTACTGAAAACTCTATGCATCTATTTCAGTTCTCCCTAAAAAAAAAACCAAACAAATGAACAAAAGAAGAGGTTCATTGGTAGATCCTGGGAGAGTCGAAATACTCTCATCTGCTGTTTTTGTTTTCTGCTTTAGAGTGAATTGGACGAGAATCAAATACAAATGGCTGGAGATGATGTGGGATTGCCAGAAGACCTTCAGAAGATGGTGGCAGAAGATCAGGAGGAGGAAGAGGACAAGGACTCTATCCTGGGCCAGCTGCAGAACATCCAGAATATGGACATGGATGCCATCAAAGAAAAGGCACAAGCCACCTTCACTGAAATGAAACAGGCAGCTGAGCAGAAATGYTCCATGATGTAGAAGAGCCACCACTACCCAAGGGCTCTAACTTCAGTCTTGTCTCGCTGAGGCTGCAGAGGGAGAGCAGGCAGAGGGATGCACGCARCTCTATTAGTATTCGGTGTAAATATAGAAAAGGGACGAGAGAGAGACTTAAAACCGTGAGGGGAGAGTGAAAATTTACATGCTTGGACTGCCTAGGAAGAAGTTAGAACTGATCCTCAGTTTTGAGCATAACATTTTTCCCCAGAGTAAAAATGGATCTAAATAAGTTCATGTTGGGGAAAAAATGTGCCTTTCTCAATTTTCTCCAAGTGATTAAAATGATATTAAATGTGTCTGGTTTAACAAAATTGTACTTCTGATACATCACACAGAGGTAACCACTCATTTAATCCTACTTTCAAAAATAAACGTACATTTCTTATAAAAGCATGTCTGTTTCAAACATCTTGAAGCAAACAGTGTTCAAATATTGACATTTGCTGCAAAAACTTGATTCTTTTTTTTCATCTTTGTACAAAGAGTAGCAAATGGCAAAAAGTGAAGCACATAACTCAACAGCTTGGGTCAGAAATGTTGTCATATACAGAACTGAGTGCAGGAAAGCAATGCTTGGTGGCTCTCAGTGAGTCCTGCTCTGGAGCAGTGCAGGCTTCTCCAGGGTGCTTTCATTTCCCAGCCTCTCAAAGACACTTCACACATCAAGGGAGAGCAGAGACCCGCTGCTCGGCTGCTCTGTGTGCCAAATCCTGGGGCTTGGGGTACCACCACATAACTCGTATAAGCCAAAACAAGCTCCCCGTGTTGATTCTGGGAGTTATCTCCATCGAAGGCTAATCATGAAAGGTTATGCCAGGGTAGGGCACCTGAAGCTCGAGGAAAAGCACAGCTTCCACTAATGCTAAATCTGACTGAGGCTGCGGGACAGGGAGGCTGCTATTCCCAGGGAAATCAGGAAAATGAAAGACTTCTTAAGTTCTCCAATAGCTAGCCCAAGAATTAAATTTGGAAGTAAATACGTGTAGCACTTTCCTCCAGGTTTATAAGTCTCTCTCTCTTCCTGTCTCCACCTAATCAAGTAAAAATACTAATTTTAAATTAACAAGTGCACTAAGTTTGTCTCCTTTCTTTCTCTTTTCCTTCTTTCCTTCCTTGCTTGTTTTTTTCCTTCTCTCTGTCTTTTCTCTTTCTTTTCTCTTTCTTTTCTATTTATTCTATTTC